GAAAGAATACACACTTTGGCCCAGATAAATTCATGTCACAAATTAAAGTCACAAACTAGGATTGCTCATTGTTTAGGGAGTGCCAGCCTCAGTTTTAAGTTTTCTGTAGATAAAATTCATTCGAGTAGCTTATCTCTCACTCCTCTCTTCCAGGCAATCAAGACTTGTTCCACTTTGCATTTTTATATAAAATTTGTGTGTCCCAAGAGGGTTTTAACTGAATATATTTGCATGCAGCATATACTATAGGCACCTAGACATGATGAAGGTTTTGTTAATAAGCATTTCTAATACAAGGGAGATTTTCTGCTGTGCTCCTAGCCTTTCAGAATAACTCAGAGTAGGCCTACTCTATCCTGTATATGGGTTTAGTTATTCCAAGGGCAGATTCCAGGGAAATTCCAGAGTATTGCTGACCCCTCCAGATGCATCACAAGTCCAGGGGACTCCCAGAATCATTCTGCCTACAAGTGTTCTTCAGAAAAGAACTAGCATCTCCCCTCTCTCTCTAGCTTGCTCCAAAGCAGTTTTGAACCCACAGTCTGTCATTCTGTCTCTATCACAGTCCTTATCCAGATCCCAGAAGCTGCAGGAGAGATCTTTATGGCCCCACTATTTGGGTTTCCACAAAATATGAATGGCCAAACTCAACTAGCAGAGAGGCACATTTAATTCAGGGGGCAACTGCAAGATCCATTTCACCAATCTTAGAAACTCTTTCTCTCGAATTTCCCTAGTGGTCCAGTGGTTGTGATTCTGTGCTTCTAACATGGGGAGTGGAAATTCCATCCCTGGTTGGGAAACTAAGATCCCACATGCCACGTGGTGTGGTCAGAAATTAAAAAAAAAAAAAACCAAAAAAAGAAAAAAGGAACTTCTCTCTCCTCTGCCATTCTTTTGGATGATTACTCTCTCTGACTACAAAATGGTGTAAGTACCTAGGTATTTTGGGTAGAGTTTAGGCAGGAAGTCACGTCTGTAATCAAACTTCCATTAAATAAAGTTAAATAAAATACTGAGGTGGAGAGGTAAAGGAGAAATGAAGGGAAAATTAAACTCCTAAATTTAATCAAACTGTAAATCTCCAATCTTACTTCTAGTTAAACAGTCTCATATACTGATTCAAAATGAGTTTCACATCTTTTTTTTTTTTTGCTCAGCCATGAACTGCAAATGTTAATATGAGAGACCAGTTTTAAAGATCAAAAGTGAAGGAAAAGTTCTGGAAAATTTGGAGTTGGTTGTACCTAATAAAGGAGATCAGTCCTGGGTGTTCATTGGAAGGACTGATGCTGAAGCTGAAACTCCAATACTTTGGCCACCTCATGCGAAGAGTTGACTCATTGGAAAAGACCCTGATGCTGGGAGGGATTGGGGGCAGGAGGAGAAGGGGACGACAGAGGATGAGATGGCTGGATGGCATCACTGACTCGATGGGCATGAGTTTGAGTAAACTCCGGGAGTTGGTGATGGACAGGGAGGCCTGGCGTGCTGCGATTCATGGGGTTGCAAAGAGTCAGACACGACTGAGCGACTGAACTGAACTGAATTTTTACTGAAGATCCTGATTTACAAAATTTATTCTTCTAAACAGACTTGAATTTACCCATTCTTAAGCTTTTTTTTTTCTCCCTGAGATTAGAGACCTCGGTAGAGTTGACATGTTTTAAATGTAGCCCTCCCGTTTCCTCCCATTCACCTTCATTGTGTAAAGCATTTTTAAACTTTAGAGGTGGCTGACTGAATAAAAATGGTGTGTGGTGTGTGTGTCTATATAGACAGTCCCCGACTTGAATGGTTCCACTTAACGATTTCTTGACTTTATGAGTGTGAGAGCAGTGTGCGTTTAGTAGGAACCATAGTGTGACTTTTGGCTTTTCCTGGGCTAGTGCCACGACACCCTCCCGTGACACTGGACAGTGGTATCGAGCCGCGGCTCCCAGTCAGCCACACGACCGTGAGGGGAACGACCAACACGCTGAGAACTAGTCTGGACCCCACAGCCAGTTCTGTCTTAAAGTTTCAGTACTGTAGTCAATCAACGACATGAGACTTTGTGGTCAATAAACTTCATGAGACATGAGATGGTTGCCTGTCTGTTAGCTCATGTAAGCGTTCTGAGGTAGGCTGGGCTAAGCTATGACGTTTGGTGAGTGAAAGAAAAGTGAAAGTGTTAGTCACTCAGTTTGTATCCGACTCTTTGTGACCCCATCGACTATAGTCTGCTAGGCTCCTCTGTCCATGGAATTCTCCGGGCAAGAATACTGCAATGGGTAGCCATTCCCTTCTCCAGGGGATCTTCCAGACCCAGGGATAGAACCCAGGTCTCCTGCATTGCAGGCAGATTCTTGACAGTCTGAGCCACGAGGGAAGTTAGGTGTATTAAATCCATTTTTGACTTAGATGTTTTCAACTTAAGATGAGTTTATTGGCATGCAACCCCATCATAAACTGAGGAAGATCTGTGTGTGTATGTGTAATATAAATGCTGCAAAATAAATTTATATATGTAAAATAAATACTGTGTGTGTGTATGTATATAGGGGCTTCCCTGGTGGCTCAGATGGTAAAGAATCTGCCTGCAATGCAGGAGAGCTAGGTTCAATCCCTGGGTCAGAAAGATCCTCTGGAGGAGGAAATGGCAACCCACTCCAGTATTCTGGCCTGGAGAATTCCATGGGTAGAGGAGCCTAGCAGGCTACAGTCCATGGGATCCCAAAGAGTTGGACATGACTGAGCGACTTCAGTGTGTGTGTATATATATAATCTAGCTAGCTAGCTATACGCTAATTATGTAGCTGATACTGTAAATGAACTGTGTTCTCCAAGTAGAACCTAAAAGCAGCAGCAATCTATACTGACAGAAAAGAAGTAAACAAAATGGACACCATTCCCATTTTTTTTTTAACTGCCAAGTGGTCTATGTTATTCAGACTTAAAGAGGGAGTGTTTACTATTGATCATTAATTATATACTCCAGTCATACCCTAAAAGCACTGTGGGAGAAATCACAACTTTGTCACACTGAGCAAAAGAGAAACTGTTGTCAAGAGTCTGACACATTTTCCAGTAAAAGAAAAATCCAGTTGCCAACTACATATGGGTTCATTTTGGGCTCCTGGAACCAACAACACATCAGCATGTCTTATGAAACTCATGCACGGCTGTATATCATCACAGAAAAAAAAAATAATTGGTTTTCCTTGGAGTATCTCTAAGTTGATGTCATATTCAATAACCCTGTAGTTGAAAAATCTATATGTGATGGATGAAGTCTGGACTGTCTTTTGAGTTTAATTCCTCCCGTGCCAGATTCTCCAGGAACTGAGGTACCTGTTGTTCTGCGGTGAGTGCCTGCAGTGTTTAGAAAAGGCATCCACGTGCTACTCCCGCCGGATGACGAGCTATGGAAGAACAGCTGTCTCACGTGGACCACAGCCTCCTTCCTCACTCTTACCCACGCCGTGGGAGCCCGGCTAACCCTGGACCCAGGGGTCAGTGCCTCGGTGTGGCTGAGTCAGTGCTGTGCCCCAGGCAGTGAAGCTGCTGGCATCTCCTCCTCGGGATTTGGCGACTTTGGGGACAGCCCGAAATATATGGGCTTCCAAGGTGGGGTCCCAGGCGTGCTACCAACACAGCACCATCAGGAATGCTTCCTTATGAGACTGAGTACTACCTTTGTGTATGCTGATGGATTGGCGGTTTGGGTTTAGCAGATGCAACCTGGTAGATACAGAATGGACAAACAACAAGGTCCTACTGTCGAGCACAGGGAGCTAATTCAATGTCCTGTGATAAACCACAGTGGAAGAGTATGAAAAAGTACACATGTATCCTTCTGCTTCCCTGTCTATCCATTCTACTAATTTTTGAGAGTTTGATATTGAAACTCCAACTAAAAATCTTCATTTATCTACTTAAAAAATAATTGTAATATATAGTGGAACTATATGTAACTTTGTTCTGTATTTTCCAAGTCTCCTGTAAATGTGTTATCATACTTTAATAATTTAAAAAATTAAACAAAAAAGAATGTGTGTATATGTGTGTGTGTGTGTGTATCTATGTGTATAACTGAGCCACTTAGCTATAGACTGGTAATTAACACAACATTGTAATTCAGCTGTATTTCAATAAAACTAACTTTAAAAAGAACATTTAGAGCTTTCTCTGGTCCTGGCAAAGAAAAAGCCAACCCTGATATATTTTGTGGGGCAACTGAATATGTTTTAGGCAAACGCCAACTTTCTTCCTTCTTCTTTCTCTTCTTTAGTGAGCATCTCGTTTCATTTACCTTGGATAAATGAATCCAAACTTGGGCAGGGAATCCTGGTCAGCTGTCCTAGACCAGCCCAGCTCTGTGGTCCAGATGCCCCTGTATCATTATTGTTGCAGGTCTGGCCTTGGAGCTGACCTCGGGGCATGGCTGCTCCTGAGTCTGGGGATCCGTTTTCGTGTGGAAGATCCTCTTTGGACCGAATCCAATCTGGCCTCCAGTTGTGGCCACACTTTGAAGTCCAGATTTATAACATGTGACCTGCAAGTTAATCTGTTTTTCTTGTATTCCATTTTATGTTGGATAACCAACTAATATACATGGCTGAAAAATGAAAGTGAAAGTTGCTCACTCATGTCCGACTCTTTGTGACCTCACGGACTATATATTCCATGGAATTCTCCAGGCCAGAATACTGGAGTGGGTAGCCTTTCCTTTCTCCAGGGGATTTTCCCAACCCAGGGATCAAACCCAGGTCTCCCACATTGCAGGTGAATTCTTTACCATTTGAGCTACCAGGGAAGCCCAAGAGCAAAGTCCCAGCTGGCTGGTCTGCCCCTGATTTGTACTGTGTGTAATGTAATCTTGATGAAGTTAATCCTATCTTTGACCAGAAGACGAAGCTTTTAAATCATCAACAAGTTGGAGGTGAATAATTTAAAAATACTGTTTAAGTGAATTATTACTAATGAGAGACTAGACAAGGAAAACAGAATTTCCTTACCAATCAGCAGAGCTTCTTTCTCTGATTTTAAGCCTTGGCTTCTTTTCTCAGTGTTGTTCTCTCGGTCTTGGTTGACCAACGCAACTGTCAATACATTGATTTCCTGTAAAGTCAAAAAACAGAAACATGTAGGTTTTCTGTGCATTCTGACAAAAGCAACGAGGTCTTTTAAAGTCTATAAAAGAGGTCACTGCTTCTATTTATAACTGAAGATCAACTTTTATAAGTGGCTGACCTATTTACCCAAGAGTAGAAAAGTAATTCTAAAACTTAGGTTCCCAGCTACTCCTTCTGGTGAACTAAGTACTATATAACTGCAAAAGTGGCACATTTTGTGCAAATTATGTTACTTTTGTTCACATTTTGATAAAACTCTGTTAGCACACACACACACACAAATTGACCATAGCTAACTTTAATACGTTTTGAAGTATGAAAAATTTTCCTGAAAAGCATATACAGACTAATTTACAATATTATGTGAGTAATTTGTGTCAGTATATGAGGACACAGGGCCTGTTGGGAAGGTCAGATAGAACTGGTAGGAGTGTTTAAGTTGAGTAAGTATATCCTTATACACAACTGCAAAAGGCAGATAAAGCAAAGGTTGGGAAATTCTTTTCTTTGAAAACTAAAAATGAAGAACTGTACAACAAGCTGGTATGGGAGGCTGCACTATTTTTAGTTTTTTATATGGTCTTTTTAATTGGAAAAGAGAAAAAGATTTAACTCATATTGTCCTAGACTTGATATTAGGGCTCATAATGGGAATAATTTAATAGAAAATCAAGTTTAATGATTGGAGACCTGTATACATGGGATGGCAGAATCATTAGGGTAGTTGAGTCTTGCCAGAGGGCAATTGCTCACTGAAAGATGCATCTCAAAGACGGGCTAGCCCACTGATAAAGAATTAAGGATAGGGGCTTCCCGGGGGCTCGGTGGTAAAAAAAAAAGAAAAATTCCACCTGCCAATGCAGGAGACATGGGTTCGATCCCTGGTCAGGGAGGAACCCACATGCTGTGGAGCAACTAAGCTCGTGTGCCACAACGATTGAGCCTGTGATCTAGAGCCCGGAGCTGCGACTACTGAGCCTGCACTCCACAACGAGAGGAGTCACTGCAGCGAGAAGCCTGCTCATGGCAACTAGAAACTAGTCCTGGCTCTCCACACTAGAAAAGCCCATTCAGCAAAGCAGACACAGCACAGAAAGAACAAGACAGAATAAAAAACAGTCACCTTAAAAAAAAAGGGCACTGTTTCCATTAGAGGACGGATTCCGTCAGAAGGACAGAGGATAAGGAGGGAGGGACAGAGGACAACTTAGATGGTGTGGCCAGTGTTCCCAGGGTTGGAACTGGTTACAGGATAGATATTTAGCTAACCTTTATACATTATCAAAGCTGGCCAGATAAAAGAATATAGGAAGTTGTTAGGAGCCTGTTGAGTCAGTCTATAAACAGCACACCCCCACCTGAAGGCATTCAAATTAAGAATGATCCAGGGCAAGTCTGGAGCCAGTTAGACACAAAAGGTCATGAGAATGACAGCTGCTCTTAGACTTGCACAGAAGGGATCTTGGAAACCAGTCCCAGCAGAAACACAATCCAGAACTTGAAAACAATAAACCCAAAGGCTTATGTAGATGAGATGAGAACACTTGACAAAGAGGAGTCACAGGCAATTCCTTCTGTGATGAAGTAAGCGTTTTAAGGGTCAGTAGAGATGCGAGAATTTTCTACAGTTTATTGTGATCCACACAGTCAAAGGCTTTGGAGTAGTCAATAAAGCAGAAATAGATGTTTTTCTGGAACTCTTGCTTTTTCAATGATCCAGCGGATGTTGGCAATTTGATCTCTGGTTCCTCTGCCTTTTGTAAAACCAGCTTGAACATCTGGAAGTTCACGGNTGTGAGAGCTGGACTGTGAAGAAAGCTGAGCACTGAAAAATTGATGCTTTTGAACTGTGGTGTTGGAGAAGACTCTTGAGAGTCCCTTGGACTTCAAGGAGATCCAGCCAGTCCATCCTAAAGGAAATCAGTCCTGGGTGTTCATTGAAAGGACTGATGCTGAAGCTGAAACTCCAATACTTTGGCCAGCTCATGCGAAGAGCTGACTCACTGGAAAAGACCCTGATGGCTGGGAGGGATTGGGGGCAGGAGGAGAAGGGGACGACAGAGGATGAGATGGCTGGATGGTATCACCGACTCGATGGACATGAGTTTGAGTAAACTCTGGGAGTTGGTGATGGACAGGGAGTGCTGCGTGCTGCATGCTGCGATTCATGGGGTCGCAAAGGGTCGGACATGACTAAGCGACTGAACTGAACTGAAGAGACGTATCAAGAAAGAGGATGGATCAACATTAACCAGGATGATGACGGTGTTATTTAAGAGAAATATAAATAATCAACTTCAGGGCTGAGTGGAAACAGTGTCTCTGAGAAGGGGTGCTCTGTTAATAGCCTGGATGATGACTGGGGCCAAATGAGATCACCGAGCAGAGTTTAGCAGATAACAGACCCACATTAACTGCCAAAGCTGAGTGATGTCCTGGGGCATCGCACAGCTGAGGATCCAGGTTGTTGGGGGAATATGGACCACAGAGGGCAGGCAGCAGGTCAGAAACCAGCAAGAAGAGGCAAGGGTGGGCCAGTCTAAGGCCCGTGAAGAGCGCTCTAAGGCACCTGTCCTCATGTCCAAAGATAGAGTCATAAAAGAAAGGGACTTTGAGCAGCCTCCAATAAATGCGGCTCAGTCAACAAGGAATCAGATGTGCCTCACCAGTGACTGTTGCTTTGATGATTGTTTTAGGGTAGGATACAGGAGGTTGGAAAACTGCAACTCCTGGGATCACCTTTCTGTGGAAGTATTTCTTCAAACTGAAAACTGCAGCCTATGCTCTGCTCTTAGTATAAAATCCATGCTTTAAGTCTAAATCCTAGTCCAACCTTAAAAGTTTCATATTCTCTACTTAGGATGTTACAACTTATCAACTTAGTAATTGGGGAACATCTACTGTGACACAGGATCATAAGTTACAAAGACATAGGCCCATTTCTTAAAAAAATTAATTGTTCTTGTTCATTTCCACTGCAAATCTCTGGAATATAGAAGGAACTTTCACCATCAGAAACATAAAATTGTTGTTCAGTCGTTCAGTCCTGCCTGACTCTTTGCGACCCCATGGACTGCAGCATGCCAGGCTTCCCTGTCCTTCACCATCTCCCGGAGCTTGTTCAAACTCATGTCCATTGAGTCGGTGCTGCCATCCAACCACCTCATCCTCTGTCGTCCTCTTCTCCTCCCACCTTCAGTCTTCTCCAGCATCGGGGTCTTTTCCAATGAATCAGCTCTTAGCATCAGGTGGCCAAAGTATTGGAGCTTCAGCCTCAGCATCAGTCCCTCCAATGCATATTCAGGATTGCTTTCCTTTAGGGTGGACTGATTTGATCTCCTTGCAGTCCAAGGGACTCTCAAGGGTCTTCTTCAACACCACAGTTGAAAAATATAAATTCTTCAGCACTCAGCCTTCTTTATGGTTCAATTCTCACATCCATACATGACTACTGGAAAAACCATAGCTTTGACTATATGGACCTTTGTTGGCAAAGTAACGTCTCTGCTTTTTAATACGCTGTCTAGGTTTGTCATAGCTTTTCCTCCAAGGAGCAGGTATCTTTCAATTTCATGGCTGCAGTCACTGTCTGCAGTGATTTTGGAGCCCAAGAAAATAGTCTCTCACTGTTTCCATTGTTTCCCTATTTGCCATGAAGTGGAAAATAGAATTTGTATCTTATATCCAATACAAATTCCTTACCCTGACAGATGTAATATGCCCTTAAGAATTACATGTCTACTAGTGAAGGTGTTCCAGGTGCTTAAGAGAGTGAAAACTGGATACAGTAAGTGCAGATTGGGTTAGGAAGTAAGAGAGGTTATCAAGGACAAATTGCTAATGGTGTACAAAGTATATACTAGGAAGGAAACATTAGGATGGGGATCAAGAGTTTCTTCATAGTGAGATCAATAGGATTATGAAATAGTATTCCAAGGGCAGCGGCAAGAACAGCATTTACTTGGCACAGTCAAAAAGCACTCCAGACTAGAAAATGAACAATAAGTAACAATCCTGCACTTGGCAGGAGAATGAGCAAGATTATCTAATAAATCTTTTCGCCGTCTACCTTTTAACTCTAATTTCTGTGACACTTACAGGGAATCATCAAAGGGCTGGAAGAAGAGGTTTTCAATAACTGGAAACTACAGATATCATGGAGGATTTTTTCAGACTTCTGAAAGGTTAGCTACTCAAAGGCAGACATTTCTCCTTTAAGAGTCCTTGTCAATTACTTTAAGAGATGGTCAAAGTAATTTATCCATTTAGAGAAGCTCTTTTTCAATAATTTACTGAGCTAGGATCATGCTTTGTTGTTTTGTTTTTGTTCTCCTCCACCCACCAAGCCCCTAAGGACCAAGTACATGACTTCTTTAGCCTTATAAAATCCTCCTGTTACTCCTTTCATTTCATTATTCCTGTGACCTCCTTAACTTTCATGCTAGTTTCTTTCTACCACCAAGTTTCTCAAATACATGGTGTATACCCACTGTGGCTACTGCCTCACCACCTGGAATCAAACTATCCTTTGAACTGCTTATATACTTCTCAGTCTTTGTACCATGTGATATTTGACATCACTCACTCATCCCTTCTTAAACCCTCTGCCTCACTTGCTTCTGTTACATAAGCCCTGGTTTTTTTCTTCCTAAATTTTAATTTCATCTTCATTGGTTTTTTCCATTCCCTCTGTTGGCCCAGGGGCTTCCCTGGTGGCTCAGATGTTGAAAAATCTGTCTGCAATGTGGGAGACCTGGGTTCAATCCCTGGGTCGGGAAGATCCCCTGGAGAAGGGAATGGCAACCCAGTCCAGTATTCTTGCCTGGAGAATTCCATGCACAGAGAAGCCTGGTGGGCTATACAGTCCATAGGGTCACAAACAGTTGGACATGACTGAGCAACTAATCCCTGCTGGCCCGGTACGTATGGATAAAATGGTTACTTTCTTGGACTCTTCACTGGGGTACTTTTGCCAAAGCTCAGTCA